GGAGGTTGGCTAGAGGAGATGGAGGAGACAGAAGGGGAGGAGTGAGAGGAAGAGCTATGAGAGGAGAGGGTAGGGGTGGGAGAACAGGGAGGGCTAAAGGTGGAGGCTGGAGAAAGGGTGAGGGAGGAGGAAGAGGGAGAGGGGAAGAAGAAGTCAGAGAGCGGGGCTGGCGCCGGGATCCTGCGGAGGATGAGTCTCGGGATGCCAGGCTGGTTCGGGGTCGGGATCAGGACGGATGTCCAGGTCCAGCGTCGATCCATCATCTAAAGGTAAAAAGAATAAAAGGTTTCACATCACAGCTCATCATCATATACATATACAACAAACTTGCTGTAAAAATGTGTAAAGTGTCCCAGGTCAACATTTCTTTCACTGTGTTATTATGCAAACATACTGTAATGTGATGTGATGCTGGTACAATGTTACAGCACTCATCACTAATCATCACTTAACACCACAACAATAGCAGAATGAACTAAATGGAGTAGCAGCATAAAAAATACAATTTACAGTAAAATTTCTGACAACATATAAAAGACAAACACAAAAAATGTGTCAGAATAAACCTCATTAAGATAACATCCTCATTAAAAAAAACATGTGTACAAGTCAAAGTTAGGCCTACTTTTAATCAATACTGATCTTATGAAGGATTAGTCTTTATAAAATTAATTGTGGACATCTGATGTGTTGTCTTAAGGAGGAGAGAGCAGCCAAATTAAATGTCTTTCCTGCATATTATTGGCTCTGGGAATACCAACTTATGTCCGACAGAATCTATGAATTTATAGAAATATGACACACCTTGAGTTAAAAATGTACAGTGTGTTATTTTAAACTGAATTTCTCAGTTAGAAACTTTTCTAGAAAAACCTTATTTGCAGAAAATGTTTCTCTGCTGTCTAGTTCACCGTAAATTTGATGAGGCACATTTAATATTATGAAATATTCTCATGCTAAAATGCTCTTTTGTTTTAACTTCTAATACATGAAACATCCCCAAAATGTAAAAAATAAAATAAAATAAACAACAATAAAAATAATTAATGAATTTAATGGAAACAACTTTGGGCCAAAGTTTAAAACTACATTCGTTGCTAGTAAGGTAAAGTTATGGAAACAGTATTTTGATTTAAAGCAGACATGCTAGCATTAGCAGTGGATTTATTGTGGGGAGACAAACCGAATAAAACAAATTAAGAAATCAGCTTTTGGTTTCCTTAACAGTCAGATATCACACCTTTTTGAAACACAGTTAAACTAGAAATAGAAAATATAATTTTATTTTAAAAAATGTTGAAACGTGAGTTTGATATGTTCAGGCCAAAAGAGCAGGAGTTAAAAAGTATCTGAAATCTTACTTTGTGGATGTCGGTCGTTTGGTCAGGACTGTCAGGACAGGTCGTCAGTGAAGGTCCAGGTGGAAAAGTCGTCTTTTGAGCTTGTTTTTGAAGAAAATATTCACTTCGAGGCAGCAAGAAATAATCCGTGTGTGCTTTTCTGAGCGTTTGAGGATTTTGTGAGTTTAAATGAAATTCATTTCTAAATAATGCACTTGGAGACAAACCATAGCAACCATAGAATGTTGTGGTCCGTTTTAAAACCATGTCCGTTCGATCTGTCACCTGATCACCTGGACGCGTTTTATCCAGATTATATCACCAGGTCCAAACACATTTATATTAAAATAATGCTAATTTAAGGAGCCAACAAAAGAAGATCACATGTTGACTTCTTCTTACCTGTTCACAGGTGTACAAGTTGTGTCCCCATACTAAAAAAAAACGAAAACAAAAAACAGTAAAGGGACCTCATAGTCAGACACGATTATGAGGGTAATAAATTATATTGGTAATTCTATTAAAAATAAATCGTATTTTTCTTGGTAGAAATAAAATAATTATTTTGGGAAAAATCTAAATTATTTAGGCCTACATTAAGAAAATATCAAAAAAAAACTTATGAAAGAACCAAACATATTTCTTATAAATATTAAATATGAATTTAATAGGCTGATATAGCCTATGTCGGCCTATCTTTATCTTTCACTGTCTTGTTGTTAGTTACATAACCTGGTAAGACTTTATTGGCCATGTGACTGTGATTTTATTTTAATTCTTTTATTTTATTTTAAAGTCAGGAATATAAAAGAAGGGGTTGCACAAATAATTGCACATTATTATTTTATATTCTAAAGACAGTGAAGAATATTGGCAGGAAATATATTGGCATTTGTTGGCCACGTTTGTTGGCCACATTTTAAAGAGCCTCAAATTAGTTATTCTACATGGGTTTAAGTATCTTCAGCAATTTAACTTACAGTATGTCAAGCCCAAGTTCAAAGCAAGGAAATGGAAAGATTTAATGTACTCCTGATTGACACTGAATTGTATTTATGCAGGTGCATATGTGTGAATGCTGCAATTTGATGAGTTAAATCAACTATTGGGCTTATTATTACAAAAACAGTAACCTTAAGGGAAATGTCTCTTTGTCACATGGATGCTACCTGGAGGCTGTGGCTTAGTGGTCATCTCTCAGCTCCTTCAGCTCCTACCACATGTCCAATGTGTGCTTGTGCAAGGCACTTAACCCCAAGTTGCTCCCACTGCTTTGTCGGCAGAGTGTGAATGTGTATGAATGGGATAAGCTCATACTGATGGTCACTTAACATATCAGCCTCGGCCATCAGGATGTGAATGTGTAGGTGTGACCTGCAGTGTAATGGTGATTAGTCAGAAGACTAGAAAAGCGCTGTACAAGCTCCAGTCCATTTACCATTAACAATTTACCTCCTTTAGGCTAGACTACTTTGCTCATTCTTGACTCAGCAGAGATTTGTTAGGACGATGTTTCATAACTCTAGTACAGGTGGGAGGTTTCCTCTCCAAACCAGATTTGCCTACAGGATGGAAAGTGAGTTTTGAAAGGTGAAAAGTTAAGCAGCCGGCAAAACAATGGCTGAGTCACTCGTATTGATTCATAACCTTTCCATCCTACTCAGATATATTATTGTCCTCTGGCAGTAAAAAAGAAAAGAAACAAGAAATCATATTGCGTATTAAAAACACACTCATCTCTTTCTTCATCCATTTTTCCATTTTAGATTCCTCAAAACTATGAAAGCTGACAGAAATTTAAACATGAATTATAGATGAATACCTCTGAATATTCCACATTTGAGGTTTAATGTTCTAATTTATATTAATAAAGCACCTATATATATAATATCTTTACAGGTGACATAAATCTGACTTGACCCTAATGTGCTGTAGATGTCTTTTTATTTTAGACTCAAACACCTAAACTTCTCTACATTTCATGATCCCAAGCTGCTTCTTAACCACATCTCGTCTGACTAAATATTAAATACCTTGATTATTATACTTGCTTACTTTTTTCTATTCAGCCAGATTCAAAGTGAATGAATTTGACCTGGAGCAATATATTTCTTTGTAGAATTCATAGCTTCACTTTCAGTAGAAAATCTGAAAATTTCTCACCTGCACAAAAACAGTCTTTAGAAAAAACAATACAAGTATAGTCAGTTTATTTAAGTAGTCTGCATTTTCTGTAACAGGATACCACTGATAGATGATTCACTGATTCACAAGGTCAGTCTTTTATGGACTGCCAAGAGAGCAGATCCATGCAGGTTAAATATTGTTAATGTCGGTGTCGATCCTTTCAGAGAGAAGAGTTCCTTTAGAGCTACAGTTCACTGAAATATTTTAAGTAATAACAGGTTATAGACTATCTGTAAGAGGTAATGTCAGAATAAAGGGTGTTTTAATCATGGAAAATGTATTAATTTGAGTTAAAAAAAAAAAATCTATTGTAGATTTGTGTACAAAGTCAAAATCTGATGTAATTATTAAAGTGTTTTTGTGCACTTACAGTAAGTGTGAATGTTCCCCTCTAAGCTGCCATGATTCATAAACTCATGGGAATGCACAGTAATTATGCATGACAAGTAACACCTCCTATGTGTGGGTGGGAGCTAACCAAGTCATATTGACATGTTTCAGCAAGCAAACCCTCTGATTTCTCACACTTGATTTGTGCAGTGTTTACATCAGTTGGTTGTTTTCCACATGGTGACTGACCCTCTTCCAGTAAAATGCTGTAACACTTCAAAATCAAAAACTACAAGAGGCTACACGTAAACCTCAAGGCTGTATAACATGTTATCGACTGTAGTAGACTGATTGTAGCTCACTGACATCATAACGCTCTGCTGCTAACGAGTCAAGGCCACGATATTAGACCGGAACTCTGGTGATATTTCCTTCAAAATAAAATACCTTTCTTCAAAAGTAGAAAATAAAGTTTTGTTTAGCCTTTAAATTAACTTGAGAGGTCAGCCAATTTTGAGACAATAAAAATGAGCATAGACTAGAGACTAGAGACATAGAGTAATAGTAATTGCTGAATCGTTTTCACAGATACATTTTGTATTTTGCACTTTAAATGCCATTGTTAAATATATATATTTCATTCTAATAAATTAAGCTCCTGTGAGGAGTTTGTAGGTGGTTTAGAGACTGACTGAAACTAACGTAGATGCCTTTTAATGACGTACAAAAGAAAACGAGACCATCATCATACATGGTTTTTTTTTACATTTATCACGGCAAAAATTCATCAATGGAGGTAGAAAGAGGTAGAAAAATACATTTAGTTTTTATAGTCTGCATCTCACATACTTGGTCGATATTTATGGGTTTGTATTTGTAATTCTCTCACTTTATTGTAAATATGTATTTCCTCACCACATATTCCCCTCTAAATTGAGTAGGGAGGATCATTAAGTGAGTTATATCAACCACAACCGTAACAGTCAAAGATGCAGTCATTTGGTTGCATTTTTTGCTCCTTTTCTCCTGTAAATTTCCCCGTTGTGGGATAAAAAAAGGATTATCTTATTTTATCTTATCTACAGATCGACTGCATGTTATTTTGAAAAGCCATACCGGAAGTAACGAATACAGCACATTGCCTTGAACTTTTCGCAGTGTGTTGCTTCACCTCCTGAACAAGTGATAGGCGTACTGGAGGAGAAGTTGTCTTTAGTTGTGCCTTCTCTTCGTCATGGAGTCTCAGGGATGTTTCTCCCGAGAGGAAATCAACAGCACGGTGTGGGAAGTCCCGGAGAAATACACACGGCTCAAACAGATAGGGACCGGGGCTTACGGCTCCGTGTGGTGAGTGACTTGACATTTACTGAACGCTGCATGCAGTGTGTGTCGTAGTAGAGTCTGAAGTGTGTATGAATGCTACAGTCTGAGCCCTGCACTCATAAATGTTAGCTATACTGTCTGCATACAGTGTGTGTGGTGGGCACTGTATGCTACATTACCACGGATAGCACTGATACCACACACGTTAACAAGTTATAACACCTGGTACCTGAAAACAGGTTACGTAGGGCGAGCACTCTAAAACTCATTACACTGACATCTGTTTACCTGTCAAATAAAAGAGACGACATAGCTATTTTTAAACGACAATAAAGAGGGATGGATATTTTCCTCTTTGATTTCTATAGGCAGATATTTACAAGTTACATTACTGCATTATAAAGGCCACATATAAAACACAATGCACATATTACATAATAACACTAGTCATAAGAGTATTTTAATGCACGAAAAATTGTATATTTTAACTTGTGTTATAGTACGTCTATTAGTTTATGTAATACATGCATTGTAGAAATGTGAAATTAATAACCAGGGGTTTGCATACGCAAATAAATGTGCTTCAGGCATCAGAAGAAGTGAAACCCAACTTTCTGATTAAGTTACTGTTGCTGATGTAACATTCAAATGTGTGTAAAATGAGTAAATGCATTAGGTGCTAGGATGGTGAAGGGATGACCCTCACTCGTCCCTACTCTGTCTCTAATTGGCTCATACGCACTTATTAAATAGTCAAAAGGAGTCCCACATGTCACTGTTTATAACAGATATTATCATCTGCTGGATAGGCCACATAAAAAAAGAGAGTATACCCACCACTTGATGCACCCAACATTATTCAGTCACATGATGTTTATTTAGCAGACTAGATAGAAAAAAATCAGTGTTAAGGTCAAACAATTCTGCAAGTTTGGTGACAAAGCTGTTGCATGTGTGATATATGACATTATATGATGTATAAATATTCCACTATTTAAAGTCAAAGATCTTATTTTTAAGATATTCATTCAATTATAGGGCTTGCACATTGTAAGTTCAGACTATTACAGTAAACTATTATATCTGTGTATGTGCAGTTACAATGACATACAAATACATGCAAGGCTGTTGTCAGTGTCCATAATGGGACTGTACAAAGTTACCAATAACAGGAAATCAGGTCAATAGTTATGATTAAGACATATTGCTCATGGATGCATCCAGGTTCCCACAACAGAACCCTGTACCAGAGAGTGTTTTAGGTCATATTTTTTGTTTTTTTTGTATTCATTACATTTTATAATGGTTTGTGATTCTGATTTATTCTTACTTCCTTTTAGATTGAGATAACAATGATAACAAATCAATTCCAATAGTCTGGAAAATATCAGACACTCCTAAAACCTAAGTGCCATTTTTTTGTCATTATATAAATTGAACCCCTCATGTAATAAACTAGATTGCTTAAAATAATTGGGTACATTACCTGCTTTCCCTCCAATCTCGCTGTGCTTTCATCTCATATCTGTGGGAGACCACATGCACTTAAGATAATTGCTGTAGAGTTCAATTTGTGCTTCCATTTCTTTCTTGCACTGCAGGAAATACAAAATGTTTTACATTTAAGTATCCTGCAATTTCATATACATGTTATGTAATTTGTTACGACTTAATTGGGATAGTTTTAGATTGCCATTGCACAGAACCCTGGATGATACTAACTGAATATTCACAACTTTTTATTTGGAAAACTACTAGTCATTGCAAAGTGGCAACCTCAGGTGTTGAAAAAGGAAACCATTAGAGAAGTGCAAAAAACTGCAGTTCCTTTAGTGTCCACTTGATGCTGGCTCCAAAAGAAAGCCCTGGAAGTCCCAATAACACCCATATTAAGATGCTATCTGTGACAGCAGAAATAAACGTTTACAGCATCGTTCAAAATGTGCACAGCTCATTTTATGCATAATTAGGGGTGTGGCTGATCTGACTGACAGGCAGGCGCATTTAAGACTTTGCCAGGAGGCTGAAGGCCCGTCTCAACTCAAACTATGTTTGTCTCTGTGTTGAACAAAACTTAGTTTAACATTTCCAATTTGGCAACTGTCATCATTGGGCTTTAAAACCCTGCCAATGGGTTATGTCACTGAGACGTCACCCATGGTACGTCCATGTTTTATACAGTATATATATTTATATTTAGTGTCAGGCCAAACCAAGAATTAGCTTAAGGTTTGTGAGAAAAAAGACAATAATTTGAAAAATGTTTATTGCAATTTCCAAGAGCCCAAATTGACTTCTTCAAATTCCTTCTTTTGTCCAAGAAACAGCCCAAAGTCTCTTTATCCACTCTCCTAAATGACAAATCCTCACGATCAGGAAGGTAGAACCAGTGATGACATTCCAACTTAGAAAAAAAACCAACACTGAAACAATAGTAGTACAAATGAAAATCCAACGGGCCTTGGGGAAGTAGAAAAACCATATCTGAGAGTGGTTTAACATTCATCCATCATAGTTGATCTTTGGCCTCTGTTGTCAGAGGTGTACTTATTAGCAATCTAAATGTGGTCACTGGGGTTTTAAGCTTCATGATGTGGGAGAGTTCTGGTCTATTAAAGCTTTAAAAGTCTGACCTTTAAATGAAGCATCTTCTTACGAACTGCGGTCAGCGCACCAACATTATCTGTAATGATTGCACTTCTCTCAAAAGCCACTTTGTGGGAAATAAACAGAATCATTACCTAGAGTCTGTATGTGTGAGATTTACTGGGCTGATTTCACATATTTATCATTAATGATAAGCTGCTTTGTGTTATATTGACTGTAATATCCAACATTAGGGCATCAAAATTGTCCACAGAATTATGCACAAGTGATGTGTGTAATGCGTGTTGGTGGATGTGGCTTCAAATAGCCTAACAAGCCGGTCCTCCTACGATTTGGTGCCCTGCAGATCACTGCAGACATGCACATCACGAGTTGCCAAACATTAACATGTTGATGCTCAATATACCACACACACACACACACACACACACACACATACTCTCTCTCAGAGAATGAGTTTCACGTACAGTGCAACCTCCATCTGACAGACCCTGTGCTTTTGATTTCAAGCTTCTATATGAGAGGGAAACCTCAAAATAGACCCCCCCTGTCGTTTTCCCACTCGTCTGACTTCAAAAGAGTGAAATCATAGTGAAACTAGAAGGTGCATGCAGCCTCAGAGTGCAATGCTAATGTCTTGTTTTTTCATTATTCACCACAGCTCAGCAATAAATGAAAAGACTAAAGAGAAAGTGGCCATTAAGAAGCTCCACAGGCCCTTCCAGTCAGAGATCTTTGCTAAGAGGGCCTACCGAGAGCTCCGACTGCTCAAACACATGAAGCATGAAAATGTGAGTAGGTTATACAACCAAAACATTTCCTGCTTCCTCCATCAGACTGTTCTTTTTATGTGCAACTTTTAGGCTTGAAATAGCACAGTCATGTTACATTTAAAATATGCTGGAAATACTTGCCCCTCACATCTGCTCCCATGTGTCTGTATCCTTTCAGGTGGTAGGACTTCTTGAAGTGTTTACAGCTGCTACAAGCCTTGACGACATGCAGGACTTGTGAGTATTTTATTCATATTTGCAGCACTCAGTTCGAGTCGAGAGCACCTCGGATGTTTTGCAGGTTTTTCACCAGAAGAAATGCCTACAGGACTGCAGAACCTTTGAGATGATAGATTTTTTTGTAATTTAGGAGACAGACAGAAAGAGGAAAATGTGTTCAGCTGAAATTCTTTTGTCACTGTAATGACATAGGCTTATCTGTTGATTGGGTTTGAAGAGTGTGTTTATATCTAATATGCACTATGGAGAATGATTTACTGTTTTATGGTACAAGTGTTGATTTAAGAAATAATGACCTACTGTCATGTCATACACTGGCCAAATGTATGTGACCATCCTAACTATTAGACCCATGTGTGAATGCTGAACATGTACAAAGTCTAAAACAATGGACACTTATCATTGTGCCATAACAACCCCCACTGTTCTGTGAGCGCTTTCCACCAAATAAGCCCTACCATTCAGCCACAAAGGTATTACAGAGGTAAGCTACTGGCTAAGCTCTTTTCTGGCATTTCAGTTTATCAAGTAGTTAGTTGAGAAACCAAAATGTTCCACTAAAGTTTGAAGTAACCAGACTGACTAATATATCATTGTATGCTAAAGCTGTAAGCCTTTCCTTCAACAGAATGAAGAATTCTATTATACTGTTCTTACTATCTGTTTAAGGGTGGTCACATACTTTTTGCCGTAGAGTGTATTGTTTGTAATCACAATTGTTTGTTGTGATAATTGATCTGACCCGGATGTAAGCATTTCATAAAGAGCGCAGAACAGAAAAATTATCTAATTGTTATCTGCAATTGTGCTCAAGAGGTCTTTACGTCTATTGAATTTGCTTTTTATTGTAAAGCATACTGACAAAGTAATAAGTACTGCAAACTAGAGCCCGACCAATTAATGAGCCAGGCAATAAAATGGTCCGATATTAGCATATACAGGGACTATCTGTATGCACCGATATATAACTAGATTTATACACCAGTCAAATAGCATTTAATTTGAGTTTCCCTGTATTACACTAGAAGTTCTCTGTCACCAACAGAGTGTGATATATGGATTACAACAAGCATTATCACTCTCCAGAGAGTCAAGTGGTGATGCACTTACATGCACAGGTACTTTCCAGTTGAGCGACCATCTTGTCTTCATTATATATCTTTTCCACAAGTGTTTGATAACTGCACTTGAGGGATCAACGCAATAAATGTGTATATCTAAATCTAACTATCTCTAAAGCTCCAAATTGATCTAAGAAAGATTTTTGCCGATATATTGGTATCAGATTTTTTTCTCTCCGATCGATGTCGGCCCCAAAAATCTCATATCGGTCGGGCCCTACTGCAAACACCAAAATACTGAACTTTAGGATACAATACAATACACTTTATTGTCCCCTTGGGGAAAAAATAGTAAGAGAAAAAATAACAGTTAAATATGAAAGTATGACTGAACAAACAAGAAAAACATCACAACACTCTCCTGATGAATTATCAGACCAGTTACTCAGAATTTCCAACTTCTGAGATCAACGCACCAAAACACAGCTGAACTTTCATGAGTGACACGTCACCCTGGTAGCGACCTACTGAAGCATATAATAAGTATTATGTAAAGAGGAAGCATATATTTAAGGTGGTATGACTATGAGTGCTACATAAACATTTAAAAGCACTCTAAGCTCCAAAGTGAAAGTATGAATAGATGGATCAGAGCATTATCAGGGAGAGGAGAGTAACAGCAGACATGAGCTGTGTTCTTGACTGAAAGGAGCTTGTATAGTGTTTGGACTGTTTTCACCTCACTAATTAGACAGTCTATCTCCTTCCATTCATTCTCTTCTGGCTCCCTCTGCCTCTCTCCCTCTCTGTATCTCAGCTACCTGGTGATGCCTTACTTGTTTACTGACCTGTCGAAGGTGCGGGGACATCTCTCAGAGGACAAAGTCCAGTTTCTTGTCTACCAAATGCTCTGTGGACTCAGGGTGAGCTTTTCGTCTTTCTCAAACACCATTTTTATTATCTGACGTACAGTCAAACATCCTAAACACGGTTCAAGGTTAATTCCAAATTATTGTTCAATTAATTCATGCCTGAATTAGACTTATATCTCGTTCAATGAACAGCTTATATAATGAAGAAAGCGTTCAAGCTTTTAACACACAGGCTTTTGGGCCTTAAAAAGTGATTTCAACACAAACTTGTGATGGATTTTATTCAACTCTGGAAATAAAAAGAATGAAAAATCAAAGAAAAGGGTCAGTGCCATTGTTTAAAATACACAGTTTGCTTGATGACAAGTGTAAAAAAAAAGTCTTTGAGCACTTCTTATATGTTTAATTACTCAAATAAATCTCTGTTTCTCTCTTTGTGCAGTATATCCACAAGGCTGGAATCATCCACAGGGTAAGACCAAGTCCAATACATTACATCTGAAGATAATACAGTGGTCCCCAAAGTGGAGCCCAGGGTTATGAGAGGAGGGGGCGTGGCAAGGCTAAATACAAACAATGCACTCTGTTCTGCACTGCTAGCAAAGCATGGCAGACTTTTGGGGTAAATGTAAGGCTGACCATGAATCTACACCAGACATCACAACTACGAAAAAAAGACGGAAATATGGCGAGCCATATCTCGCTCTCAGCTTCACCTCTACAACAATGTGTGCGGGGGAGAGCCACACTCATTCTTTTGTCATATCCCACCTGTGTGACAGAGCTGTTTCTCTGCAGTCGCCTCAATCAACAGAAAATACAGATGAAAGCTTGATATTGAAAATGAAGAAAGAGTGTCAGTCTCAAAGCTGCACCCCAGACTTAAGAAGATCTAGAGCACAAAACAAGCCCACACTAGTCACAGAGAGTATAGCAGGACTGAAAGTATCAATCTTAAAAAGAAGATTTTGATCTTTTTTTTTAGGGAGTTGTTTACCCTCAGAGTCAGGTTTAGGACAAATCTGTTTAAAGCTATGACTGTGAACATTTGGAAGTTTCATGATGCAGATTAACTTTTAACTGCTTCCTCTGTAAAAAGCTGCTTATTCGTTTTTTTCAGTTTGTTTTCAAACACTGATGTTTCATTTCTGTACTTTTTGCAGACAATGATTGACACACTGACAGTGTGTTATGTGTATATTCATATATACTTATGTGTTGATGTGTATGATGAGGGGTGGGGGTGCTCAAAAATATTTTCCTCTGCCAAAGCGAGGCCCGGCAAAAAGTGTATGGGAACCACTGCGTTAATGAAAAAGCTCTACAATGGCTCCATTGTCTCTTCCTCGATAAATGAACCATTAAAGATCACTAGTAAGGATATTTTTTTACTGTGCCACACATTTCTCTGACTCAGATGGCGCTCATGCACTTCTTCCTGCACTGCAAACTTACATGGGAATGTTGATTTAATTTGTCATTGTTATTGAGTAAGAGCAAACTCTGCCCTAACAGGTAGGATGAGTTTACTCCTCTCTGATGTCCCAAAGCATGTCTAGAGATGTCTGACTACACCCTTCAGCACAGGGCCTAGAGTTGTGCGTGCGTGCGTGCGTGCGTGTGGATAGAAGGGAAATTAGACATACACAGATGTTATATATAGAGTCATTTTACCTCCCTGTATCAGACACCAATTGAAATTTATGACTGTCTACTATCACCGTATACTCGTGTTGATAAATAACTACACAAAACCTTGTTTTAAACTCAAGTCATTGTTTAGTGACACAAAGTGCGTCTTTGTTAGTGATTTCAAACAGCAAGCTCTGCAGTTAATTTCAATACTACTACTTATAACACAGTATTGCTCGCTCTGTTGGGAAGGATTTTCTTGAGCATTTATACGACTTTTGTCACATAATTTAACCATAACATACTAATGAATTATATATATTATTAAGGGAACATGTGTAGGTTAAGCTCTGAAAATTGGTTGTAGCTCAGCATATTGTGTGTGTGTGTGTGTGTGTGTGTGTGTGTGTGTGTGTGTGTGTGTGTGTATTTGGTCTGTCAAAAACATACTATTGCTCTCGTAATTCCAAACACAGTCAAGTTGTTATCAACACACAGTGCCTCTCTTATCCCTCGTTACGTCACAGTATTCTAATGAATGACTGAAGAAAAGCTGCAGCGAGTCTCATGGTGAGCAAAACGTTGAGTCACAGCATTAAATACATGTTTAAAAACCTCATGGTATTCTTTATAGCTGAGCTAAACAGCTGAGCCATGTGTGGCTATAGAAACTACACGCACTAAAGCCCTTCCCAGACCCCGTTTTGATTTAGATGTACAGACCCTATCATTTGTTTTTAATCACTATGTGCAATAAATACTGTAACCATCACTCAGCTCATTTTATCTGTTACAGGATCTTAAGCCAGGAAACTTGGCAGTGAACCAAGACTGTGAACTGAAGGTTTGTACATTTAATGTTTACACAAGAAAAACACTTTGATGCTGCATTAGAAAAAAAACATTTTGATTCTGTAGGTAAAGGAAAATATAACATATAGGAAACAGCACAGATGTACATTTGTTATTCTACAGCTCACACATCCTAATGTAGAAGCATTATGTATGTATTCGGATTAAAGTTATTGAAGTATGAAAATATCTTTCCATTAGGAAGAGAGTGACCAGTGATTGATTGTGACCAGGAAGATTTCTGACAGCCGGCTTCTAAATTCTCTCGAGTTGCATGTTCACAAATGTCCCTTCACAGAAGTGGGTGGGGAGGTGTAAGGGGGGTGGGGGGTTGAAAGAACGAGCAGGGAAGAACATACTGACAATTCTGACTGGCAGAAAACAATTAAAAAAGCTTTATGTCATGTGCACCGAGATGACACCAGCCAAACGCCTGTCGCAGGATAGAAAGCTCATCATCCCCTCCTACTGGAATTCTCTCACCCTGAATTCTGGTGGAAATGTTACTACAGGGCTGGCTGGTATAATTCCAGATAAAATCTGGTTGAAAATGTGTGTCCGTTTGTGGAGTTCTGCACGTGTGTGAATAGGGTTTATGTCTGTCAGTGTCAGATATTATTGGACTTTAGGTCTTTATCGGTTTGGTGTTGAAATCTTTCCAAGATGTTTCCATAATAAATTAAGAATACAGATGTGTGCTATACATTAATCGTGTTCCAGATGATGATCATTGTCTTTGCTTCCATGGCAGATCCTTGACTTTGGGCTCGCTCGCAGCACAGACGCCGAGATGACGGGCTACGTGGTAACCCGTTGGTACCGGGCACCTGAGGTCATTCTGAACTGGATGCACTACACCCAGACGGGTAAGACATTCAAAGCTGTTACATATTCTTACTGTTGTCTCAGATCTTAGTTGGCATGTTGGTGCTGTCCCTGTAACTTGTTTGTTTGTCATCTAAAAACATTCCCGACTCCAGGTACAGCCGCAGCTTGTAGGGCACATGCTGAGTCAGCAGTTTTTGTAATCCTCTCGTCTGTGCATGAAAAGCATTTAAAGTAGCATGGCTTTCATTGTGACAGTAAATCTTTTTTAACCTTAATCTGTTAGCGGCTGACACAGATGGGTCCGACAGCAGCGCGATAGTGCTAGAGCTCAGTGATAGAGCTGTCAGTGCAACGGACAGACTTTCCCAGGATTTATGTTTCTATAGGAGACTGTGCTTCTTCACTCTGTAAACAGTGTGAACAGAACCAAATGTAGCCCAGCAACCCTCCATAGGATAGTATTACTCATCAAATATTCCCCCAACATAAACAGCACAACAGATCCCTCACTGTCTCTTGTGAAGAGGAACTTTGCTCAGGCACATAACTGCCACCTTCCTCATTTTTACTGCACTGAACTTAAAGCGATTTGTATACTGCTCGGTTTTTCACTGATGTCTCTTTCTTTCTTGTTTATTCTAGTGGACATCTGGTCTGTGGGCTGCATCATGGCAGAAATGATCAATGGAAAAACCCTTTTTAAAGGCAAAGACTGTATCCTTTCATCAACGTTGTCCGTATGCTGGACTTGTTACTTTTGAAGCCTGCGTAATGCAAAATAAAGACAAAGGTGTCAGTGTTCATGACTGCACACCTTGTACTCTTTTTGGCTTCTGATGCACTTAACTGAATTATAATCCCCATTGGTAACAGCTTTACCAAGTGGCTTTCCGTTTCCTTTATATTCTGAACCTTCAAGACATAGCAGGTTTAAAAATCCTTGATTGTTCCCCTTTTACTGCCAGACATGGACCAGCTGACTCAGATCATGAAAGTGACAGGAGTACCTGGATCAGAGTTCATCCAGAAGCTGGACAGCCCAGAGGTAGGATAAATAACAGTGTGTGTAAGTCATCCATATACATGTATCCCATGAAATACAGAAATTAGACTGAGATGATTTGAACTAACTGAACCTAGAGCTGAAATGTAGCAATTAATACAGGCTAAAATCACACGAGCAGCTGAGTGAGGCTTCAATGCTATCAGAAGCTTTAAAGGCAATATAAAACTCGTCCTAAGGGGGGCACCAGAGGGAAGTCAGGGAAATAAGAAAACATGAAGCAGGAAGGTGTGTCAGACAACCCGGTCAGATAAAGATATGTAGATATAAGATAAAACAAAGATGAGTCTTTTCTGCAGTTTACAGTAAGTAGCAAGTTCAGCACAAATATTTACAATCAGTGTATGTACATCATTTTCATCATTTATTTCAAAACCTAAGAAACAAAGACTGAAAAAGGAACCATAATGAAGCTCAACACGTTTTTGGTACCTACATTGCACTTAATGGGGATTTCTGCAAATCAGTTGCTTACTTTTTAAAAACAGGTAAAGTCATTTAAATATAGTTCTGTCTTGGCTTTTTGGGAGCCGTTTTCCACACGCGTCAGAGGTTCAGTTGTGGTTTTAGCAGTTCCCAAATTGGAATTAAATTTACATAAATCGGTTTTAAAGCTGTTCAACAGTTGAAATTCCAGTAATCTGAATCATTTCACTCCAAAACCAGAGGTGAAAAACACAACAGTGTACACTGGATCGTGCATGAATGATTGATTACAAACTGTAACTTCAAATGTTCTCAAATATTATTTTTTTACCTTCGATAATAAGTGTCTTCTATTTGTTAAAACAGGCCAAAACATATATAAAGGCTCTCCCTCGTTATCCCAGAAAGGACTTCTCTACATTGTTCCCCAGATGCAGTGCAATGGGTGAGTTTAGCCGCAGCTCTTGTTCTATATTCAGATGGTCCAGAAATGTCTAATTTTGATTTTTGTTTACAGTTTTAGTGAAAGCAGAATGCTGGTTTATCCCTGCAGCTGTGGACCAAATGTTTTGTTTCATTTGCTTTCATAACGTTTATTTCGCTACCCTTTGAGACTCTTTGTACATTTTTCATGAAAGCGTTTCCACTTGCTACTCTAAACAGTGAGAAAGGTCATGAGCAGGAGAAATTCTCTAAAGTCGTGCATCTTTTAAAACTGGCTATTTTTATCTTTTGGAGTCAGCTTAAATGTTTACATTGAGTAGAAACAAGACACCGACCTTGCAGCAGCCTCATGACTTTATGTTCAACAGAATATTATATTGAACACATCAACTGATGTCAAAGTTAATGGTCTATATGTTTGTTTAAATTGTTGGGTTGTTCTGTGCCACTGACCGTTTGCAGGTATTGACCTGCTGGAGAAGATGCTCGTTCTGGACGGAGACGAGAGGCCCACAGCTGAACTCGCTCTGGAGCACCCGTACTTCGACAGCCTGAAGGACCCAGATGACTTCCCTGAGCCCAAAGCGTACGACGACAGCCATGACAACGCCACTCTGTCCCTTGAGGAGTGGAAGCGTAAGTGAAACATATAAGGCAAACACTAGAGGAAGGCATGCAGCAATGTAATCTATGCTGCCTTATCAGAGATAAATAAAGTCAAGTGATGCTGTAATGGATACAGTGTTTACCGTGTAGGCCATATTGGATGATTTACAATTACACAAACACTTTACTGCAAGGGCTCCTGTTAATGATGTGGTGATTAATAATTCATTTTTAAATGCCGTGCAATATGTGTCTCTAATGGCTTTCTGTTTAAATTATGACTGGAGTGGTGGAAGTGCTGCACTTGCAGAAAACAAATGGTTTTCCACTTTTGCCCACAGGGTTATGTTTCAAAGAGGTGAAAAGCTTTGTTCCATTCCCACGGAGGGACTCCAAGAGGAAAAATACTCTGACTATGTCTCCCTGATCGGATGATGCCTGTCTTGTCACTGTACAGCCAATGGTGCCCTTGTATATTACAACCATGCACTCGCTCTATTTCTTGTACCCTGGATTTATTTCGGTTTTGAGCCAGTGTTCAGTAGAGTGGTTAAAACACTTTTTTTTATGTGCAATAGTCTCCTCAGAGTAGATTGCCCTTTATGTTACAAACGGGATCCTTGTAAATGTTTTTTTGACGAAATGTCACAGGGTTTACTGTAAGATTTACTGTAATATTGTTTTTTTGTTTTTTATTCCAATTAAAGATGAGATTAAATGTGTATGAAGTTTTGTGTTTGCAGCAGAGTGTAAATGTTGCTGCCCGAAACAGTAAACAAACTTTCTGTATGAACTCATAGGCGACTTAAAAGTTTTTCTTTTAAAATTCACTGAATCACCACTGTCAACCGGAATATTAAACCATTGCAGTGTGAATGATGCGGAAATTAACTTGTCCCTTTTTTGTGTTTATGCTTTTTCATGTCACAGTCCCGTACAGAAACACTGCAATGTCTGCATCATTACTTCACATTTACCCTTAATGATTAAACCAAATCTTTTAGATCTTTCCAGCATGGTGCTATGTACTTAACTGAGACATTTAGAGGCTGCTGTGTGATCTATAATCTGTCTTTAGGGCAGGGCTGGGCAACTGGCAGCCTTGGGGCCACATGCAGCCCATCTGCTCACTCATCGTGGCCAACAAGTCATTTTCAAATATCAATAAATTGTAAACATGAAGAAAACATTTTTTTTTAAAAAGATCCGTCATAAAGGATTAAAACCTGAGTTGCCAATACAAAACCATGCACAAAGACCAAAAGCATTCAAACATGAAAAATAGAATATTCTCTGTAATGATCTTTAAAAGCTGGTATTTGGTTTGGTCTTTGAATAAATTATGTGCATGGCTGTAAATGTTTCTGTAAAACTTTATTACATGCATTACTGAATGCATTTGAAATTCTTTTTGAAATGTAGGTAAATTATACTGTAATGTATAACCAATAAATACTCTCTTCATTGTACTGAAAAGTGTCTTAATATGGCTTTAATTCTGTTAAAATCATTAAATTGATCAGTACTATTTTTATTTAAGTTTGAAAATATAAGTGTTGGTTTTATGGAAGCGATGTGTTTATTCAATTTGTTAAATTACAAAGCCTTATATTTGTCTCAGAGGGCCCAAAACTTTTTAAAGAATGTGGCCCTCTGGCAGTGAAAATCAAATGAATGTGGTGCTTATGGTAAGCGAAGTTGCCCACCCCTGCTTTGGGTAATGGTTGTTCTGTCTGAATCATCGTGATGACTATTTGATCCTGCTGAGGAAACATGTTAATGCCGTGTGATATAGAGACAAAAACTGCCTGTCAAATTTTCTCTGGATACGTGAGCATATGTGTGTGAATCCAAATAGAATAAACAATTTATGAGCATGCATGTGTGAACAGATGTTCTGTGTACATGTGAAGACAGTACAAGTGTCAGGTTTTCTTTTACTAAGGAGAAAACTGTCCAGATGTTTTTCAGAAAACTGTTAACTCCACAAGATCAACACTCCGATGATCTTAGGGTTAGGGCTATGTTTTGACCTCGCTAAGTAGCTTGCGCGCGAAAATCATGCCCTAGAGACGTCAAGGGGGCGGGCTAAACTTGCATCAATCTGTTTTAAATCAAGCTATCCAAAAGGCTGACACGAAGGCGGAAGTAACATCTCCCCGTAAAGTTAAGAGAATAAAGTAAGGGAAGATTCGTTAAATAAAAATAAGAATAATTATTGCTGTCATCAAAGTAAATTTGATTCACAATTAGCATCAAGTGACCTGTTTGTAATCTTTGTGAAAAAAAAAATGAAATCCTCAAAGACTAAAAAGGTTTTAGCCTGTGACACTGAAATCGATTACAAAATGTTTAGAACTAAATATCTTTTGAAACCAAAAAAGTATTGTATAGAGTTATTTTCTGATGATGGACAGTTTTTGTAGGTGTGATTAAATTACCAAAAAGTCCAAAAAGAAAAATATCCTTAGGTGCATCTTGTTACGCACAAAATAATTATGTTGTGCGCACAATGTGGGCATTATCTTGTGTGCACAAGTCAGAAAATAACTTTTGCACACACGATTTTTTTTTTTTACTCTTTGGCACTTCATCGGCTGCGTGCTATCCAATCGTAATGTAAAAACAAATATGTTGTAATGACAACATTGTAAAACAGTCTATACAAATTATAATTTTATTCTGAAAAGCTTATCCGGAAGTCTTTGGGTTGTACTTTTGCTTACTTCCAGATAGCACATACGCTAACCAAATAGCTAGCCAACTAGCCGAAGGAGGCTAATATCTCCTTTTCACAAAATTGGGTCGACAATAAGCTTTTTTACAAATTATCAACTAAAACACACCATCTATGTTATCCGTAAGAATTTGTAATTGTCTTCTAGCCTCCCTGTCGCCGTGTTGTGAAGAAACGGGAGCATTATAAAATAGATAAATATACCGGCTGTAGCAGAAAACTGTAGCCGGCTAACGGAGGCTGTTAGCTCCGAGGCTACAGGAGGCGACTGACTGGGCAACCATTACTGTCGAGGGGCTACAGACCGCCGGCTACTGGTGTCAGTTGCCATAATAGGTAGGTTTACTCCTCTCTTGTTTCTTGATTTGTCTCGAACTTTAACTCAGTTTAATGTAGACCAGGTTTGATTTCTTCTACATGCCAACCTACAGAATGAAGATAACTAACACTCCCGCTGCTCATCTTTTAAAGTTAGCAGGGTAGCTCGCTTTTATCTCCAAATACTTAGTACTTTCACGTCAGAGTATCAGAAGGCTCACAAAGTACTGTGAATTTGCTCATCCAGACATCACCAGATGTGAGTGAGTCGACATTGGAAAAGCAATAATGGAAATTTAAACCGTAGGAGAGCTTTCTACAGTATTTAAAAACTGTAAATATGGCTGACATTTTACTCCCGAAATAGGAGACACTGATCTGTTGAGCCCGTGAAATACTCAACCCTGATTGGCTCCGGCTCGGATCAGTCAAACTTTCCTGTAAGCTGATTGGATGTGAGCGTTGTGTTGTGGCTGGCTTGCCCTGATAGTAATTGCCAGCAGTTTGAGATATAGTCACGAATTATCTACAGCTCATTTTCTTTCACTGTTGAATGTTTTTTAAAGCAGCAATGAATCAATAACCTTCAGTGTGGAAGTTGGTAAGCGTTCAATACACTGTTACTTTACAGATAAGTGGATGAGTGAGCCAGACTTGTGCAAGTTGAGATGTGTGAAGGAATGTTTACACTACATGGATGTTGACAATATACTTGTAACTGTGCGGTAAAATAAAGGCCCACATGAAAACAGAATATATCTATAAGTTGAGATCATGTTAGTTTCTCTTTTGCCTTGATTTTTTGGCTTTTTTTCATTAATTGCATTAAATTGCGTGTATTCTTTAAAAAAATGGATTTTAATCATTACATTTATCTGATGAACAAGCAGATAGAAATCTAGATGGATTAGAATAAGTGATTACTGAACAATAAACCTAAAAATATAATCACATTGAAGCACCCTGAGTGATGTCAGAAGTAGAGTGTAAGCCTTGCAGCTTTTAAAATATCTCTTTTTTTGTTTTTCAATCATTATACTTTTAAGGGGACTGCTGTTTTGCTGAAATAAATTATACACCAGTCAACCAATGTTTGATTATATGATACCAAATTACATAAAAATGATCTCATGACACTTTAGATATTAAGCAGGTTTATACAGCTATCATTGGCTGAAACATAAAGTACATTATTTATTTGGTATTTGGTGTAATTAAGTCATCTTTTGGTTATACTTACATGGCCATGTTTAGTATTACACCATTGAGAATCACAACACACCTTTACATCATGTTTATTGCATCTACTACTGATTTGGTGCACCATAAAAAATTGTGGTATGAACAGTTTAAAGGGTTGGAACATGACACACTTTTATATTAATCTGTAGGATTCTAAATTGCTTCATTAATTATTTATTTTTTATACATTGCCTATTTTCTACAGTCCATCAAAAGCATTTTTTAATACTACTTTGTTCCCTTTCTAAACCAACAGGAGGGAAAGTGAGATTGGTGGCCTATGAGGAAGCCACGTCGAAAAGGCCAAGTGGCAGCGGGAGGAGCTGGAGAAGATGTCAGGAAGTCCAATGGGACAGTTGGTGGGCGTGGGGGTGCCCGCCAGCGATCCCCCTCCCCTTACAGCCTCAAAGCATCTCCAAACAGGGATACCCTCACTTACGCTCAAGCACAGAAGGTGGTGGAGGTGGAACTGGATGGTAGGCTCCACCGCATTTCTATTCTGGAGCCCTTGGAGGTCATCACTGAAGATGAGATGAAGGCTCAGGACATAAGTGAGTGTAACAGCAACAAGGAGAACAGTGAGCAGTCATCACCTCCCCTAGCTGTGCCCAAACAGTCCGCAAACAATCCACAACTAGAGGTCGCAGGAGAGACTCCAAATGTCCTCCTGTCAAGTCGCCACCACCTTCCAAGAACCACTGCTCCAATTCTCATCCCCAAACACCTGAGAAGTTAAACACATCACAGCATCACCACATGACCCTCCCTGAACCTAAGTTTCATGTGCTGGAAACCTTCATACCAGTCAAGGCAGAACCTCTACCTACTGCCTATTACCGTTTCATTGAATGCCCGGCTGAGGATCAGGAAGCTGAGGCAGAATATGATATGGATGAAGAGGACACCGCCTGGTTGGAAATGGTGAATGCTAGCCGGACATCAGAGGGTTACACAGCCGTTTCGCAGGACACCTTTGAGCTACTGGTGGACCGCCTGGAAGAGGAGGCGTACCGGGAAGCCCGCAGCAGGGCTCCCTGTCAGAGCACTATAGATGATGATGCCTTCTGCTGCGTGTGCCTGGATGACGAGTGCCTCAACAGCAATGTTATTCTTTTCTGCGACTCCTGCAACCTCGCTGTGCACCAGGAGTGCTACGGAGTGCCCTACATACCTGAGGGCCAGTGGCTGTGCCGCTGCTGCCTCCAGTCCCCTCAGAAACCTGTTGACTGTGTTTTATGTCCAAACCGTGGCGGCGCCTTCAAGCAGACAAGTGACAGCCGCTGGGCCCATGTGGTCTGTGCTATCTGGATCCCTGAAGTCTGCTTTGCCAATACAGTGTTTCTAGAACCAGTTGAAGGAGTCAGTAACATTCCCCCAGCACGCTGGAAACTGACCTGCTACCTGTGCAAGCAGAAAGGCCGTGGTGCATCAATACAGTGCCACAAAGCCAACTGTTACACTGCGTTTCATGTCACGTGTGCTCAGCGTGCCGGACTGTTCATGAAGATAGATCCGGTGCGAGAAACAAACATCAATGGGACTACATTTTCTGTAAAGAAGACAGCTTTCTGTGAGGCCCATTCACCACCAGGACAAGAGAGTAACTCAGATGAGGAGAGTGAAGGAAGAGTGGTGGGCAGCAGAGGAAGGGCTAGTAGAGGAAGGAGTGCCTACACACAAGGTCCTATAACACCGAAAAAAGGCAGAAAGTCTGAGAATGATGCCAAGGCGGATAAAAAGAAAGGGAAAAAGGGCACAGAGTCAACAGCACAACACACCACTTCACCTCAAGTGATAGTGCCTCAAATACCGACCAACAGGTGAGAGTTTCTTTTTCTTTTCTTTTTTTAATAATTGAAAGAATGTGCTTGTGTCTTTTCTAAATTTGGCTTAACATTTGATCAACACTTTTTTCATCAAATCTTCAACGCATCTAGTGAAACCCAACTTGATCAGAATATCATACTTAATTAAATAAAGGCAATTATATTTTGTTGGAAGTTTTTGGATTTGCTTCCCAGATATAATAATAATAAATATGATGACTGTGGTATAATTACACACAACACTTCTCGGTTACCGGTGCCTGAGCGGATGTCAGCGAATGTTACTGTATAGATCATCTTGCATCTATCTCTGTTGCACAGGCTGAATATAGTGTGCAAAGGAATAATGGTCCAGAGGAAAAACCAGTTCATGCAGAGGTTGCACAGCTACTGGTTACTGAAGCGTCAGTCGAGGAATGGTGTGCCCCTGGTCCGGCGTTTGCACTCTAATTTCCAGTCCCAAAGGCCTATGGAACAGGTCAGGGTAGGAAACAGACCTTTATTGTCATTTATTATTTTTGAACTTTTTTGATGGTATTTGGTTTAACAAACAACAAGCTTGAAATCATTTTTTTGTATTTTGTAGCCTGAGGTGGATGAGAAGGTTTCTGCTGCGAGAGAAGCACTAAGATACTGGCAGAAGCTGCGGCATGACCTGGAAAAAGCACGGCTACTGGTTGAGCTCATACGCAAAAGGGAGAAACTCAAACGAGAACAGGTAACTCACCTGTTGCTTCATATTTATTCACTTTTCTTTTCCATTCAACAGCCTGTAATATATAAATGTAACGGCAACCGTCACTCATTTTGACATAGTATACAAATCTTCTTACATCTACAGGTCAAGGTTCACCAAGCTGCTCTGGAGATGCAGTTGACCCCAATGTTGGTGCTTCTCCGCTCTACCGTGGAGCAGCTACAGGAGAAGGACACAGCCCAGATCTTTGCAGAGCCGGTCAACATCAAAGAGGTCAGACACAACGCTAAGACCAGAAGCATACATATTCTGTATTCAGTACATAATTGATTAATTTGCTGGATTCAGTCAATGCACAAATCAGAGAAGTTACGTACTCTATACACTACTGTATAAACAAAACATGGTTCTTTCGCCATTTAAACGGTCAAATTGAAATTAGACATTTAAATCTGTACATTAGAAATCAGTTTTCTTGGTCCACACCTCAGTGATATATATTTCAATCTTTTGACTGAACAGCAGCAGGTTATCAGACAAAGACATTTTTATCATAATAATGATTTATAATTTTGATTTTACTGGGAGTGTTTTATGACCAGTTGTAGGTAGCATCACAATGAGTGACCTAATAGCCTTCTGCATTGCACCAGTATTGGACCTTACTTTTCCAGATTTTGAGGCTTTCACAACCTTGTATTTTACACGCCAGTATGTGTTCATTCTGATCATTAAGTTTTTACATTTCTGTCTTGTTCTCAGGTCCCAGACTACCCAGAATTCATCAGCCAACCCATGGACTTTTCCACTATGCGCTCTAAACTGGACAGTCATGCCTATCGCTCAATATCTGACCTGGAGACAGATTTCAACCTCATGGTGTCCAACTGCCTCCTCTACAACAGCAAGGACACAGTCTTCCACAGGGCAGCGCTGCGTCTTCGAGACTTAGGAGGAGCCATACTGCGACACGCTCAACGACAATGTACCAACACGGGCCTGGACCTGGACACTGGCATGCTTCTTCCAGAGTCACCGCAGAAAAGAGACTTTTACAGCTGCAGCTGGGAGGACAGTAAGTGATCGTTGTGATACTCAACAGGAAATGTAAACACATGTCTTTACTTAATAATATTAGATTAGACTGTGTGCTATTGTAAAACTTTCAAGGATTAAAGACAAACAATAATCATAACATTTAGTAGAACTATAACTTGTCTTCAGCATCCACAAAAAGCTGAAATTGAAAGATTTTTCATTTAGGCTGTATATAGTTAGGATTATTAGCACGTCAGTTAATAGTGAAACTTAAATGCTAGCTTCACTGTGGCCTTCTTCTCTTCTGCTTTCTGTCCAGTTGACAGTGTGCTGGACCCAGACAACCGGCTTCACATGACCGTTGAGGAACAGCTGAAGGAACTTTTAGAGAAGCTGGACTTTGTCACCTCCATGAGATGCAGCGGCGCACGAACTAAGCGCATCGCCTGCTACGTCGCGAGATCAACAACATCCGCCGCCAGGGACAAAATCCCCGCCACAGCCTTCACAATGGACATCTGAAAGATGAAGAAGATGACGAGGAAGATGATGATGACGACGAGGAAGATGACGACAAAGACACCAAGGCAGACAACGGTCTGTCGTCTTCGGACAAAGGTGGGTGATAAAAGCACTGACGTGTCAGCAGTATGAAATTGCAAATGCATGAAGCTTTAAAAACCTCTTTTTTTCTCTCAATGAGACCAGTTGTGAACATGAGCTAACGGAACATTGTCCTCAGGTAATTGAGCCAGGGTCCCCCCCACGCACCAACCCCAACCACCCCACTGTCTCCAGTCTAGTAAGTAGGGGCCCACAGAGTCTCGTTAGCCATGGCTGCCTCACAACTCCTCTCTCCCAATGCACTCTATGTCTGCACCTCTTCTTTACATCACTGTCATGGACTCACCACTCTCCATTGGCCACGTACAGTCATGCCATGCCATCCCACTTCTGACTCCAGGCTGGTCCAGTTAAACAGTCTCTTGCTAGTGTAGAGGAGGGCAGCACAATACCTCTGATCTGTGTCAGCCGAGACCTAAAATACTGCCATGTCACCATGTTGCGGGTGTTCAGTTGTGAGAGCAAAGTTATCTACTCACTCGTCTTGATAAGGTCTTCCATATCGACCGAATACCTCACCTTCTTCTGGGCTGTGGTTAGAATAATAGAATAAAATGTAACTCATTATGAAGTGACACCATTTTCCAGTGTGAAAAATACACCACCACATCACACTACATACTTAATGGCTATTCATTTTGGATTAAACGCTGAGTGAAATTGGGCTTCATTTTTCTCCCTCTCATATTCCAGAAGATCTTAAATCCACATCGCCACCGACTTTGGAACCAACGGGTCCAGCGCCGCCTCCACGACAAGGGGACGCACCTCTGGAGCCTCCCACCCTGCGGCCAATCACAGGAGAGCCCAAGCCCCGCAGCTGGCCCTGCAAACGCCTAAAGATGGATGAAGACCTGTCAGACAGCACCACAGAGAACAATAATTGCACTAAAGCTCATGAGCAGCCAGCATCACCGCCTCCCATTTTGCACAGCCAAGGACAGGTGGTGGCCAACGGCTTGCCAGAGCTCAGTACCCCCCCACGGCCCACCACAGGGGGTGTTGGACGTAGAACCTCTGTGCTCTTCAAGAAGGCGAAAAATGGAGCTAAGCTGTTCAGAGAGAGAGACAGTCCTTTGCAGAATGGAAAGGGACCCCAGGACGACAACACAAGCATCACCCCTACAGCACTCAGCTCCACAGCTAGTACCCCATCCTCAACACCCCTCTCCACTCCATCCAAGACTCCACAGAAAAGCCCAGGACCACCCACCATCGATGAAAGATTTATCTCCAGTGAGGACAAGTGCTCAGATACAGAGCTTAAGAAGACACCGAAACATACACTAGAAAGTGGTGAGTACCTTTACTTAGTGACTGATGTAAGACTCCTTCTCTTTAGAGGATACTTCAGAACTGGCTGTTTTGTCACTGAGGTTATTCATTAACATGTGATAATATTAAAGGAGTTCTTTACTGAGATTGTTGTGGAATTGTATGGTATAAATGTTCAAGCTTCAGTGAGCTCAGTGACCTTCATAGTGAAGCTGTTTTCTCTACTCATCCATTAGCATACTGGGTTGTCTGCGACTGTTTCAGAATTTGAAACAAAACCGTTTTAGTTTTTTTTGGATTAGACACCAGAAGTAGTCTTTTGAGCATACGAATAGTTATTTTGCAGGCCGAAATAATAATCTTAATTCTAACAACACAGCAGACCTTTTTCATTCAGCTGATTCTTTTTGGATGTGTTTAGGTCAATCTATTTGTTTTTGTCAAGGATTATATTATGATGGTCAGTAAACAATCTATCAACATTCTGGTAATCTGCAAGGGAGTTTATTCCTTATTGCAGCTGTAGCAGCAGTTAAGATTTTACCCTGCTGCGTTCTCACATCAGCTCGACATTTCTGCAGGAAAAAATACCAGGCGGATGGCATGAGATTCTCTGGCTGTTAGCGTTCACACATACAGCTCCTCTTGAAAATCTCAGGAGTTTTTCAGGAGTTTTGTGCAGCTTTAAAATCCCAAAACTGGTTTTACCATACCCCAAAACTATGCATTATCTGGACTTGGTTTGTGCTGTGTGTTTGTACTGATTATTGTTGTTTAAAATGTACTGTGGTGTTGTATTCAGTCAGATTGGGATTTGACTCCAGATACCTGGGCTCAGACCCTTCTCTGTCTGCCTTTTGAGCTGGTCTTGCTATTTAACCATCAGCTGTTCTGATTTTGTTTTTGCTTTTCTTTCAGGACTGACCAACGGCTTCAACAAGCACAAAGACGGCGGGTCCGACTCTGACTACAGCCCTTGTCCAGTCCTTCGCAAAGAGATGTAAGACATGCTGTTGCAGTTGTCTGTGGTTGTTTGGTTGATAGTAATGATTTACGATACATTGACATAATAACATATGGTCTTACAGCACCTCACCACCCAAACGAAGCCTTGGAAAACCTGCTCTATCCAAAGTTCCCTTCCTGGACATAGTCAACGGAGACTCAGATTACACTGGTATGTTTATTTGTTTATTTGTTTACTGTTTCAAGTCATTCTCTTGTACCTGCCAATTTCTCAAAAAGGTGGCTTAAAACAGAGACATCACAAACTATATGACCTTAAATGTCTATATGAACACATGAATTGGCAGCTCTTCTTTTTTTTTTTTTCTATCCATAAAATTATTTCAACAACTGCTGCTGTGTTTCAGGCAACGGTAGCCAGATGTCTGGGGACGATACAGAGCTGGAGCCGTTAGAACTGGTGTGGGCCAAGTGTCGAGGATATCCCTCCTATCCTGCTCTGGTAACTCCTCATTCTCACTGACATAACTGAAACACCATCTAATGTGTGAGTGGGAGGTGGGGGGGGGTTACTTTCAACACAGTAAATCATTATATCGCTTTTGTTTTGGACAACAACACACTATGAACTTTAATGATTGAATTTGGGGCCCTGCAATAATTATGAGACTAAAATGACAACCCAGGCAGAGGGGGGCGGACATTGCCATGGTAACAGCGAGCTTGACCAATAAGAGACGTTGCTGTGACGCTCTATGATCATGGGTAGTGCAGTTATTCTCCCTGATAACCTTATGTATCACTGTTTGTTTCTTTTAGTCTTTTTTGTCTTAACTTTTCATTTACATATGAATGTGTATCATCAGTCAAACCTATAATGTAAATCCAAATAGCTAATTTATACCAGGGAATGGAGTTAATGTCCTCACCATCTTTTTCTTTGTTACTTGCTTTGCTGTAAATCAAGGTTTTCCTTTTCCATCACAATATTGGACTGTTGATCATTGACTCGATACATTCATCCAGATCAATAGATTGTTACATCTTTTTAAATACAGCCGGCAGCTCTCAATAAAACACATTTTGAGAAATTAAAAGGTGACATTCATACTGGGACCATTAAGCATCCGTGTGCAGTGTTAGAAACATAAGTAAATACACAGTGAAGCTGACTGTGTTTTTTCCAGGTGATAGACCCAGAGATGCCCGAGGAAGGCCTTCTGCACAACGGGGTGCCCATCCCTGTCCCACCTAAAGAAGTCCTCCATCTGGGAGAGCAGAGGCAGGAGGAGACCAAGGAGAGGCTCTACCTGGTGCTCTTCTTTGACAACAAGCGGACATGGTAAGAGTCACACAGACAAGCTCAACTGTAACACACTATGACCCAACCAATGCGTTACAATGGAGGTGGATACCACCTTTCATTTTGTAATGAAATGTATATTTTTTCACATTCTATAGTTGTATGTTTATTGATACTTTTAACAAATGCATATGTAGGTCAAAATGAAACAAACCGTTGTGAAGCCATCTTAGTTATTCCTCTTCAAAGGCTCTTACAGACTCAATCTGTGTCTTTGCTGCTGTAGGCAGTGGCTACCACGGGACAAGGTGACACCCTTGGGTGTAGATGACACAGCGGACAAGCTTCGCATAATGGAGGGCCGCAAGACCAGCATCCGCAAGTCTGTCCAGGTGGCGTACGACCGAGCCTTGATCCACCAGAGCAGGGTCAGCCACAACCACGGCTTTGTGGCCTCCAACTACCTGTAGAGGGCGACAGTGAGCCCTGTGTGCACCCTCAGGCAGCCACTATGCATTTCTCCCTCGTCTTAAAGCAGCAGGTGTGCAGAGTCGTGCTGCCAGCTGAATTTGTATTCACACTGTGGTCTGAAGAGGTTGCCATGGCAGCACAGAGTCCTGGACTGTAGTTCTTTACCAAACCACTAGTGAGGACACACGCAGGGCTGTGCTGTTTGCCTTTGTGTCACCGTTTTGGATGTGGACCTCCAGTGAATGAAGTCACCTTCAAGTCCCACCTTGCTGATGTCAGTAAGAGTAAAATCAGGTGTGTGTGTGTGGAGGTATCTGCTTTCTCCACCCGGATGTGTTGAAGGTGTGTGTCTGGATCAAATGTAAAAGAATTCCCCTTTATTTTGTATAATGCTACTGCCAAGGAATCAAAACTGTCAGAAAAGAGATTAGACATATTTATATGAAACGCAGAAGACTTATGAATGGATCACTGCCATCTTTTATACAATAGCTTTTTACATTTTAATCTTTTACAAAGACACTTGTATATTATAAAGGCACACTTTGTGTACATATGTACGTGTATTATCAAATCCAATTTAATTTAATGTTGCTGTTTTTAAAATGCGTATTTCAATCAACCCAGCAGGGGCAAAGCGAGGCTGTGTATATTTGTGAACATGAAATAATTCCTGACTTGCTGCGACTTCTTAGCTTGTCTCTGATGTAATTTCATTGTGCTGTGTGTGTATGTGTGTGTGTGTACATTCAGAGCATACAACACAATGAGCCATTGTTCTTTATATTTGAATTCTCTTTTTGATACAGAGAGAAATAATTTATTTATGGAAGACATAACTATAGAAATAAAGCTATATTGGTGTAAGTGGAGATTGAAATCTTATTTAAAACAGAGTGAGGTTTTAAAGACATGCAGCCAACATTTTAACAGATGACGTCACACATTTGGTTTGATGTTAATGATTTTGAACAAGCCCGACCGCCATAATTCACTGTTGACCCCCCCCCAGATTCTATTTATTGTCAAGAGCCCCATTTTATCAAATGGAAAATTACACCTTTATAAGCTTGTACTACCTGCATATTTTACCTGCTCACCAAATATTTTGTCTGAACCAGTATTTCCACATTTTGGGAAATAAATGCTCTATTAAAAACCTTTTGGGATACTTAAACTGTAGTTCTGTGTTTTTTCTTTTTTTTACAACTGAACATGAAATGAACATGCTTCACAGGCCTTTCCTGTGAAGCAGGAAGCAGGATTTTGGGTTGGTGAGGAAACCTCAGCGGTGTAATCTCGGGGTTTCAGTGCTAAGACGCTTTTTTCGAGTGTATCACCATGGTAACTCACGTAGCACACATGACCTGCTCTGGAATTGGATATTTCTGCAGAATAAGGGGAACAGATCACAGAAGGGAGGAGAGCAAGTGTTCATAGATTGACAGAACACTTTCCCAGAAACTTCATGTGGGTGGTATTCACTGTTAGTGACATTATCAAACAACACTAACTGATAGAAGCGTTAAAGCCTTGTACTTGTAGTTCTCAAGTATGAAAGGAAGCCTAATAACTGTATTTCATTATGTTTTTACAAGCCGTAATTCACACATGAACATGGTCATATTTTTGCCAAATGTCCTTCCTGGATTGGCAGATTCAGTGCAGCAGCTTTTAGCTTGTTTTTTGGGTTATTAAAGTCAGAGGTGTCCAGATGTTTTTTTGACTCTGGTGACTAACTGGGGCACTGAGTTATGCAGGGTAGCATGGAGTTTGTAGGCACATACACACAAATTATTATTTTTTTACCCTTTCTATCCAAACTAATGATATGCACTTAAAGTACAATTTGGCAGAATATACATTTTCTTCTTCTGATTCTTCAGGATGTGCAAAGTCTCATTTTAAATCCACTCTGAAAATTGCATGAAAACTCTTGTGAGCTGTCTAAGTTGCAAAAATACAGTTATTGGCAAGTATATCCATTGCAAGTTAAGCTTTTTGCACAGAAATATTCATGGATAAATCAAAGAATGCAAAATATTTATTTACAACTGAAAGTACCAACAAAACCAATATACCACATTCACATAAAGACAGCTACCAGCACCCGGTTAAAAACAGCCAGAATGGATTTTGTGGTGGCACCTGGGGTGGCCAATCAGATCTCAAGGGTGGCCATTGCCACCTCTGGATGCCCCTGATTATAGTCTTCTCTTCTTTTTTGTAAAGGTTTATTTTTGGGCTTTTTATGCCTTCATTAGAGAGCTAGGACAGTGGATAGAGTTAGAAATTAGGGAGAGAGAGAGAGTTTGGAATGACATGGGGGGGAAAGGAGCCACAGGTTGGATTCGAACCCGACCACCCCCTTGAAGGACTACAGCCTCTGTACATGGGGCGCAAGCACTAAACGCCCTAGGCGCCCCAATTATAGTCTTCTCTAAAAATTTAAATATATTCTGCTCTCAGATAAATTCATGTTTTTGTATCATAGATTTGTTGTAAAACCTTCTCATTCATATAAAGAAACTTAAAGAAACTTTGAATGTGGAACTTGCTTAGAACGTCTCAGTCTAGTATTTGATAACAATTTGGAGATGTAGGCCAAATATGATCAGTTGATCTGGTCAGTGACGTCATCCATTGTTGTTTTTTAAAGCTTAAGTTTGGCATTGTTGCCAACGACATGATGATTACAAAATGAGCATTGTGCTGTATTAAAGATGACTTAAATCTAGCAAACGAGCCCATGAACCAAATAATGAATCTTTTATTGAGGTAATAAATGAAGTGGGGAGTAGTAAGAAACAGGTACTTCGTGTTGGAGCCATGGATTGATATAATTGTCTTTGTGCTATTTATTTAAAGTTAAGGTAGTCTGTTATATATTGGTGTTTTGGGTTATTGATTATTATATCATTTATTAGGATTGTGTTGAGTGAGGGGATGTCGGGTCACATGGGTATGGGCGGAGATGTGTTGATTTAACTCAGCTGTTCACCTTTTGTTCTCAGTGGAAGAGAGGGGGTGAGCTGGGTTGCTGTATTTTTTGTTGACTGCTATTGTTTCTGGTTCACTGTGATTATTAATGCACGTTATTATAAGTTAAGTTGATTATCTTTTTTACGTTAATAAAAAAGTCAAACTTATTTTTACGTATCACAGTATTCTTTTGAAAGCGCGTCAGACAAATATATTAGGCCCAACCTTAGCCTCTCAGCGGCTTCATATTCAGGAACGCCGCTACACTTCGATTCTGCATTTGGCTTCATTTTGAAAACTTTAAAGCTATGTCCACTTTATCTAACAGACTGTGCTTGGAATATATGCGTCACATGCAAGAATGCAGACCAAGAGCTAAATCACTCTTAAGGTTTGAAGCATGAAGAAATAGAAGGTGAGGTAATTTAGTCCCGATTTCAGATGGTAAATTCTCTTCTCCTCTGACAAACTCCATGTGGTCCAAAGTTAGCATTTTATTCAATGTAACATTACTCAGCTTATTCAAAAGCACTGTACTTGTTCATGTCAGCTTTATACAACATTTATAAAAAGAGCTATAAAATACCGCAAAAGTCCATCACACCATTTAGGTTCCACCAGAAGCTAAAACTCAACAGTGACTGCAGGACTGAATGAGCTGCAGTCATTGTTGTATTTGTGTGTCAGTATGTCATCAACAGACCCCCAGGATGCAGTAAAGTTTGATCAATAACAGGCACAAACAATTGAATGGCCAAATATTTGTTCTCAGCTCAAACAGGACCCCTCAACTCCTTACATTTACACATGAAACTCCCCAGAGATGATTGTGCCAGTTTCCACCATATCCTGTTTGCTTCTCCTTCAGAGTCCAGGCTGCTGTCTCATCAGGAGGAGGTAGTTGTGACGGAGGGTTCGTAGCTCCGTCAGTCTGCCCAGCAGGCGGCCAAACCTCTGTGGTCCCCCTCGCGCAGCTCCAGCCTGGGCCCCACACACTCTGGACAGCAGGTCTAGAATCAGTTCTTGCATTTTCTCAACACAGTTTGCGGCACGCAGGGACGCACGGTCTGCAGGGCATTGACACACAGAGGGAGAGAGTCAGGTTGAAACATTAAAACGTGTTGATATCCCCCTGCTGTAGAGCAGGAAATCAGCAGTCGTGGAGAAGACTTTAGTCTGCCTGAGTGAATCATTAAAAGGTGTTATAAGCTCCAGATAGGTTATATCGATTATTTACAGTTGAATAGAGCGTTTGTATATGTTTTCCTTTCCAGTTGATTGGATTAATTCAGACCAAACATCCACTAAATAAAGATCACAGATTGCTGGTCTGACCTGAGCAGAGCAGAGCTGTAGCTGTGAGCAGCGTGTATTCAGCCTCCGTCACCCGCAGCGTTGCCATGCTGTGAAAGAAGTTGAGCACAGGGCCAAAGAGATCCTCGCTGCTGCCTGTTCACACCAGAAAATTGTCCGTTTAATTTCAAATGTCTTGCTTTAAGTTGCCTTTCGAAACCTGTTAGATGTGATGTGATCTGAGAAGGTGTAATTTACCTGAGTTGACCGGCGTCCTGCTGTGGATGTTTTCCTTTGACTCTACGTTTCTCAGCCAGTTGTGTGGTGACATACTGAAAAGCTGCAGGGCTGGTAATGGAGGGAGGGGGGTGGAAAGGACAATTTATCAGACTTACCTTTCTTTATACGGGTTTCAGTGCATGCATGAATCTTAAAAGTGTCTGTGTTGTGTATTCACCTGGACTGGGGCTTGTTGGGTTATGGGAGAACTGCTGAGCGGAGAGCAGAAACATGACCTCCAGTGAGGAGACGGACAACAGAGAGCTCTGATCTGAGAAATCTAGGAGGTCAAAGCCTGTGAGGGGAACGACATTAGATGTGCATGTGAACACATGATGATTGCAGATTTTAGATTCTACCTTGATTATGAGTGTCCGTCTTACCTGGCACTGTCCTGGCGAACTGCAGTAGTCTTTGCATGTTTGGAGATAAAACCTCGGACAAACTCTCCCCTTCTTCTGCACACGGCCACTCGAACAACTGAGCACACAGACAAGAAACCATGAGGGCAACAGAAGATATAACATAAATATATCAGCTTAATAAAAGTACACTGTACCGTACCCTGCAGTGGCTGCTGTCCTGAGCTCTGTACTGTCTGTGGGCCTCCACCATCCTGTCCACTAAGTACTTCTGCTCTCTGCTTAAACTGGCAGACAGAGCCTGGTGCAACACATGATCAAACCAGTATTAGGATCATTATTTAACTTCACACTGTTACAGGTACAAGATAGAAATCAACTTTTCATCAAAGAAGCTGCACAACAAATTATTCAGCCACCAATCAAAACTTCAGACATTTAGCCTGAGTGATACATTCCCATCCATCAATATGTTTTCAAGTTATTTTATGTGCATTTACTGTAAAGCTTTCAGGTGTAGACTGACATTTTCTCTTCATTGTCCCTCAAGAATCGCCACTGTTGTTGATTCATGTTGTTCAATGTTTTTTGTTTTCCAAAAAGGAATTACATCTGTGTTCAACTTTATTTTAGTCAGTGTCATACATTCATCTTTGACCCTTTTTATAGATCAACTCCTAGCTGTCCTGCTAATGCTAAGCTAATCTGATGCTTAGTTAGTACCACTGTGACCTTGCTAAAAAAATGCCTTTCACTCCATCCAAATCTTTTAATCAATAACACATAATCAGTCCTTCTTTGTAGTACCTGTGCAGGTAGTCTGCTGGTAGAGCTGACCCTCCTGCTGTCTGTGTTCTCCTCCTCCTCCTGTCCTCTTCCTTTACCTCCTTTTCTTAGTCGTTTAGACTGGCACTGCACCTCCGTCAGAAGGCCTGACAAACAAAGATGGATTTATGTTTACAGCTCACACTAGCCAAGTGACATGTAATCCTTTATTTATTACACAATGAGCGGTTTTGTGTTGTCAGAGGTTAATTACATTCAGCTAGCATCCCCACAGCTTGGCACTTCTTCAGCCGGCAGTCCTGGCACTTCCTCCTCATGTACATGTCCATCTCACATCCTCCACCGCTCTTACAGTGATACACCGCCTTTTTAGTCACACTACGCCTGAAGAAACCTACAGCATCCAGGGTTAAAGAAGAGGAAAGAATGAGCAGGGAAGGTTAAAGGGAAAGATAATGCAAATTAAATTGAAGAAATACC